AGGGTCTTCCGCTGAAGACGGAAGACCCTAATAAAGGTAAAAAAGAAACCGAAGAATAATAGAAGGGTCTTCCGCTGAAGACGGAAGACCCTAATAATAATAATAGGGAAAAAGAAACCGAACGAAAACAATAAGGTCTTCCGTTGGAGACGGAAGACCTTAATAAACAGTACAATCACTATAAGGTCTTCCGACTGAAACGGAAGACCTTAATAATAAGAAGAAACAGAGTAAAAACAATATGTTCCCACACTCCGTTTGGGGAACATAATAAGCACATGATAAATCTCGCCCACCGTTTCTTTAACACAAATCATTTGATTCTGCACGGCTGATAAGAAATCCACATTTGGAAAGTCTGTTACGTAACTTGTACCTTGCGCGCACTTTTAGCCAGTGCTGCCCACCATACCTGTATCAAGGTTTAAAACATAAAACGATGTGATGTCACTCGATCGCTTGAACTAACTGAATCAAAGTTTGTCATCCAGCGTACAGAAGAATATCACCAAACCATGTTTTCTAAAGTGCCATTCTATTATCATCTCAGCATGATTTGAAAAGTCACGTAGCCACAAGACGTTGGCATAACGTTATAACGTTAGTTCACGATCACAACATGTTTTTGTACGGATATATGTTTGTAAACAATATCCAAAAAATATTGAGCAGCGGCCAACATTAAAAGTCCAAGAAACGGTGAGAGGATGTAAATCAATTCAGATACATAAACAAATCCAAATCAAAAAATATTGTTTCCATCAGAATGCATGGTCTGGAGATAAACAGGATCAGGTTACAAATCTATGGTAGCAAGAATTAATTGCGGCACTGAAAATTCCGGAAAAATTCTCTAAAAACAGTAGAATAACAGAGATGGAATAAATTACTTTATGTTGCACATAAATACAATTATTTTTAAATTACGTCAAAAGAATTTGATTTACATGTATCCCATATTACATGTAATCTATACAATCATTCAATCGTCAATTGCAGATCACTGTAAGCCAATGACAAAGTTTTAAGTTTATTAAACTACCGTGATCGTATAGAATTTTGAAATGCTTGTTTCTGAAGTCTCATCAGAATAGACCAATGCACTGGTTATAGCGAAAGTTTTTAAGAACCGTCCCAAATATTTAAATAGAACGTAGAACTAAAACTCCAAAAGTAATAATTAAGGTGATGTCCAAAAAATTAGAGTCCAAAAAGTATTTCAAAAGAGTCAAAGAAAAAGAGCGAGAAACGTTTTCCGTCTCAACAGGGGATATCGTGCTCAGAGGGTATTCATGGTCCCGGATCTAAAAATACTTTTCATTGGCTGTCTTACCATTGCCATGCCTCCTTCGCTTTGTCCGTAGGTCTGTCCGTTGACCTATGAACCCCAACATGGCGCCACTCTCCAATACAGGTATACTAGTGTAACCGGTTCTTGGTTTGATAAATAACAATCAAGACGGTTTGGGGTGTGGATCCAATATTGTATTTGGTATAGGATCGTTAGGAACAGTATATATATTTTCACCCTACAATAATTACAACAAATAAGCACACACAGACATACACAAAACAATACAAACAAATAAACACATTTTAACACAATTAATTATAGGCCATTTACATTTACACCTCATTTAATATTTAAAATACTTAGGTCGCACATCACTCAGATAATTGATAAACTTATAGCTCTGCTTTTATAACTATTATATTTCTATTCCTACTTTGTAGAAATATCTCATAAGTAATATTTACATTAATTACAAGATTTATATTAATCCAATATCATCACATCTTTCACATACCAGTTTATGGAACCATGTGATTCCTATATCTATCTTGGTTCAGCTCCATATGAATATATGAATGACCTATTTAACAATTATTTAAAATTACAACAAATTCACAAATCCCTTATTTAGGATACATGAATAAATTAAAATGTTACTTGCAATTATAACTCTTGCACATACATATTTTATCATTTATATATATACATATCTTTCAAACACTCACACTTTATTTAGCAGGTTTAGATTAAAATAAATTATTTAGATTCCTCATTCATAAAGAAATTATTTAGATGCTTATTTAATAGTTTAATTATTTATTAGATTTACTTACAGGAATGAGGGTAGTTTCCAGCACTATGGAATATGTATATCTATATGTATAAAGCTTCACACCCTTCAAAACCAGTTCTCAAAGTGTAATAATGAAATCATGAATCTAATTCCCGCCAAAACCATTCAACCACACTGACCAATAGAAATCAGTGTAACAATCAATAATGGAATAACCCATTCTACAATACCTGGTAGTCTATCTGGAATGCTACATTGTTTAAAATAGGGGTGTTTAGGTTTATAACAGACACTGAACAAAGACAACATAGAGTGTAAGTATATCGCATTGCGCAGCGCTGAATGAATGAGTGAATGAATAAAATAATAAATGAGAATAATCTACACAATAATAAAAATAAATATCCTAAAAATAAAAAGTACAACTACCACACTAGTACCTTCATTAATAATATTTATGGACTCAGTCTCCATCTCTGCACCACAGGAGTTCTAGTCCTAGGCTCTTTTACTTATCTGCTTCAAAGTTCCCAATTTTATTACTCTTAATCAAGAATCTTAATAGTAACTTTACATTTCCGTTCAAATTTTATGACTTAGTATCGATGGACTTGATTGGTCTATTCTGGTCAATTCCATTACAAAATGATTTACAAAGTTATAGTTCATTGTACCAGCAACAAAATCCAATTTGTTCTAACAAGATAATTATAGTTCATGAACGTAAAGTCCCTTTTCCAATTATAAAGTCACTGTATGTGGTACACTTATAATGTACATCCTTGTTTAATAAACTTTTACTGTCACTAATAAGTTCACTATCAATAACTAAAATGATTAGGATATGAATATAATCCAAGTTTAAAATGTTCAAATAAAATGTCCGTTCTAAACCCTGTAGGTTTATATCACTAGTATTAATAATTGTCAATAATAAAAAAGCTAAAATATAGATAGCTCAAAACTACTGATTAAGTAACGAGAGAGAGAGAGAGAAATTCTAATGACTTTGTATTCAGAAAAAGCGCCAAATATTATGCATGTCATTATATAAACGAATTAAACCTAAGTTCGTCGTGGAAAAAATTGTACACTATGTCCTTTTATTCTCCAAAAAATACCATTCAATTTCAAAACTAATAAAGTTTTATTCACCCTCCCTCTCAATTGTGCCACATTTTCTCTACGAGTTCGCAATGTCTTGCTTGTGATGTTAAATTTCTTCATGTTCTTCAAAGTAGTATCCTCCGTGGAAGACTTCTCTTCCACCGAGCGACTTAAATATAGAAATTCATTCGGCGTGCAATTTTTTTTTTTTTTTGTTTTTTGTTTGATTGATTGATTTTGCTCTTTACCAGTGTGTATACTATGGAAAGCCGTAGGGTACCCCCACATTATTATTATTTTTTCCTATATAATTATACCAAAAATAATTATCTCATCCCAAAATAAAAAATCTTGCTTCTTTTTTTTTTTTTTTTTTTTTTTTTTTTTAACATTATTATTTTCCTACAACAATTATAATCTTGTTCGTCCATGTGTACTCATTATTTTTATTTTGCCCCTACATTATAATAATTATTCTCACTTTACAATTATAATCTTTTCAGTTAGTACGGAGACATTATTTTTATACACCTCCAAATTATAATCTTGTCAGTCGATTCGTACACATAATTTTTATTTTGCACCAAGATTATAATCATTCTTGCCTCAACAATTTATAAGACTTCACCTCCTGTATCAATAATGTACTGACTGAAAATAAATAAAAATGTACATGCTTAAAAATTATAATGTACCAAGTCGACGTTATAATCTTTGCAACAATAATAATGATGTGCGCCCTTGTTCGCAATTATTTTTATTTTTCAACAGGAAAGATAACTTCTTTTCTAGTGACAGGAACGAAAACTCTGTCCTCCTGTTGAAACAATAATTATGTTGAGACGCGATTATAATTGTGACTGCACACATTATTTGAAGCGTGAAGGAAATATTATCTTGAGCGTGGAGAAATATTATTTGAAGCGTGACGGAAAACAAGCGTCGATGCGAGGGAGATCGTCACGTGAAAAGGCCATGTGCGCTGTTCGATCATGTAAACAAAGTGGAAGACAGAAAGTCCAACGTTAGCTAGGCTATAAGAGGTAAGTAAAGACTAATCATTAATGTACATGTAAATGACTGGCATCATTCAGATAATGTCTCTTGAATCAGCTGTCAGTTTATTGTAATTAAGCTAGAGCTACCGAACAAACAGGTAGTTCGAATTGCCTCAGACAGCTGTCAGAAATAGATCATGTGCATAAATGTGAGATTAAGCACATACTAGTACTTTATTTAAACCACCTGCCTGATTAAGAGCATATAGGGACGATCATTTGATTGGGGGGGGGGGGGGACTGATAGATTAAGGAAATAAATATTTTAACCTTGATTTTTAAGTAAATTAACTTCATCCACTGGCATTGCTAGAAATAAAGGAAAACAATGACCCTGTCAGACCATGACTGTCACTGTGATATCCCCCCTCCCCCCCCCCCCCCCCCACACACACACACACACCCTTCTTGCATGTGGTTAAGTGGTTTTCTGATTTTGGACAAGAAAAGAAAGTAAATAATCATTTTTAGATCAACTGGAAATAAATATTCTGTCCTGTGAATGCTAAAAATAAATAAATAATCTGACTTGACAAAATTTGCCACCTCTACCCCCACCCCTTTATAAAAAGGTAGTGACCTTAACATGGTGAAAAATGTTTTTCCTAACCAAAATTATTTCTCATCTACCATGTCTACTCCTTTGTACATGCCATAATCATACTCGTACATGTACCCATTGATATTTTTTAGATTTTGCATACAGTTTGTTTTTCTGCCACAGATTCAAAGAGAATTCAGTTAGGAAATGGAACTATTGAACAATAAATTCTGCCTGGAAGCAGGAATTGCGGAATACAGTGCAAGGGATCCCCGATACTCTATTTCAAAAGTTATTGGTAAGGTGACTACACATATGTAAGTCCTTGATAAATATCATTAAAAAATACATGTATAGCCTTTGTTAACAATAGACAACTTTAGCATATTTCAAAATAGTATTTCTCTTTGTGGGGAGAATCTGGGATCAGCTGGCATGAGGGACTGTTCTCCCTTTAAGCCAATAAAAAAATTATAATGTGTTTGTTTCTGGTAACATGCCAAAAATGTTAGGGAAGGTAGGTAGGCGATAACTTTTTTTTATTACTTTACTTTTTATTATCTCACCTGAGCCAAAGGCTGAAGTGAGTTTTTCTGATCACATTTTGTCTGGTGTCCATATCTCTTTAAACTTTTCACATTTTTGACTTCTTCTCAAGAACTGCTTGAATGACCTTTTTCGACAAACTTAACAACAATCCTGAGGTAAAGGGGGTTAAAGTTTGTTCATATAAAAGCCACACTTCCTTCCAACTGGAGATAATTACAAATTAATTTAGTGAAAAATTAACATCATCTTTTAAAAATCTTCTTCTCAAAAATCTGTGGGCCAGGAAAGATGAAACTTTTGTGGAAAAATCCTCAGGTAGTGTAGATTCAAGTTTGTTTTAATCATGACCCCCAGGGGTAGGGTGGGGCTATAATGGATTATCAAAGTTTTACATAGGAATACATAGAGAAAATTTAAAAAATCTTCTCAAAAACAGCAAAGCCATGATTAGTCATATTTATATGGAAGCATTCTCTTAAAGTATAGATTCAAGTTTGTTTAAATCAGGACTCATGGGGGTAGGGAGGGGCCCAATAGATGATAAAACTTATGACAAAATAATCTTTAAAAATCTTCTTAAGCCATGATGAGTCAAATAAATATGGAAGCATACTCATTTAGTGTAGATTCAAGTATGTTCAAATCATGCCCCCCATAGGTTGTGACCACTCATATATTTAAAACTGTTCAATACTGAACTGATTTCCAATTTTTCCTAGCCAAAGTGCTCGGGTGAGCGATGTGGGCCATGGGCCTCTTGTTTAAAGAATAATTTGCACATTTTATTTTAGGAGCTATACAAAGAATCTTGATTTATAGAAGTATACAGGTTTAAAAAAAAAGAAAACAGTGTTGTAAAGAAAGAAAAGGATTTTACATTCAAAGAATTATGGATGGCACAGAGGTAAAAAGGACATTCAGTGTTCAAAAGAATTAGAAATTGATTTATTTATCACAGTGGCAGATTTAGCCAGGAAAGGGGGGGGGGCATTAAGAAAATCTAAAGAGTAATTGCACATTTTTACATTAATCAGAATTTTTGAAAATTATGTACATCCTAGAATTGATATATTCTGCAGTACAATTTAAAAAAAAACATGCTGCAGAATATATAAATTTTAGGATGTGGATAATATAGTAGGTGCTATATTTATATTTACATTCTTAATATATTGAAAACAGACATCTACTTTATAATTATTATTAAATACTGTACATTTAAGCTCACTGAGCCCAAGGTTAAACTGAACATTTCTGATTAAAGAGTGTCTGGCATCTGTCTATCATTCATAAATGTTGAGTCATCTGTAAACTTTTCACATTTTCAACTTTTTTTTCCAGAATTCAACCAAATTTGTCACTAGACAATATTTGGTGGAAAGGATTTAATTTTTTTCAAATGAAGAGCCAAGGGGAGGTCATAAAGAGAAAATTAATGTTTGACGGTGTCATTTGAAAATCTTCTTAAGAACCACTAGGCAGAAAAATTAAAACTTATGTGAAAACTTCTTGGCATAGCGTAGTTTCATTTTCAGTCAAATAAGACCCCTTTGAGCACTCTACCATCGGCTCATACATTCACCTCTGTCATCTGCTCGCATATATCACAGTGATAAACATGAAAAATAGTGTGTTTGTTTAAATTCATTTTAATTAAATGCCTGCACTAATTTTGTTCCTAAAGGTAGCTACTTTCCAAGTAGATCTAGAACTATTAATTTAATTTAAAATAATTCTGGGAATGTTATGTTTTTTACATTATAATGTCAAAATCTTGATGCGAGCCCATTGCAGAGGTGTCTGAGAGAGGAACGAATGACAACTCTGCATAGGAGATTGCCCTTTGAGAGGATGGAGCCACAGTATGGGATTAAAAATTTGCATGGGAATATACTACAAACTAGAAATTTGACCATAGGACATGAATACCCCTACTAGGGCTTATCATGCATCATGAAAATTTGCATTTTTGCATTTGTGTATGAAGTTTGATGATAATACCGGTATCTTGAAAAAAAAAAGGTCATTGGAAAGGTCCAGGTAAAAAGGTTGAACAAAGTTGATAAATTCTTAACAAATTTTGCATCAGTGCATAAGCTTACATAAAAGCATATGGAATTGTTTTGTTGAAACTGTGTTACATGCATATAGTTATTTAAGAAAAAAGTGATATCAAGGTCCAAGGAAAAGTCCTGGTCAAAATTTTATGTTGCAGTTCAATAACACTCTTCAAAATGTATCAGCATATGAAGTTTGAATAAAAAATCACAATTTTTTCTTTAAAATTGAGCTTAGCAATTAACACAAAATTGAGAGAAATTGAGAGAAGTCAAGATCAACAAAATTTATGCAACTGAATAGCTCTTATCAATATGTATAAGCATATGAAGATTGATCCAAATCTCTTGAATAGAGCTACTTACTAATCTAAGAAAAATGAGGTCAAGGTCAGGGGAAAGGTCAAATCAAAAATATGTTGATGAAGTTGAATGGGTCCCATCAATATGTATCAGCATATAAGATTTGATAAAAATATCTTAAATAGCTCTTGAAACTGAGCTTAACACTCTAATTTAAGAAAAGTAAGGTCAGGTTCAAAGGAAAGGTCAAGGTAAAAAAATGTTGAGTAGCTCTCATCAATATGTATCAGCATATAAAAGTTCAAAGTGTGATGGAAGGACACAAGAACATGTTATGGGGTTCAAGTAAATTTTTAATTACAAACCTTTAGGCTAAGGTGAGGCCACAATATTAGGTAATTTTTCATTGGAATAAAGGACTTTTTTTTTAAATTCTTCAGCCAGGAACAAGGTGACTAAGGTGAGCATTATTAGGTGTCTAAGGTGAGCATTATGGCCCATGGGCCTCTTGTTATGTGTCCTTTTCATTGATCAACAATCAGGTGATGTAATAGTATTGTTATATTTCAGAAATGCCTATGGATGACGTCATAACCAATTTTGAAAAATGTTTTGTTTGAAAGAAAAGGATCTGAAGAAGGAGACAGATCTTTTTAAATTCGGATGGATTTATAGACTGCCAGACTTATTGCTATCACTTAATTCTGTACTACTAGATCTTTTACACTGAGCCTATAAGTTTTAGACTAGATGATTTATCTAATTTGAGAATCCATGACATCAATCTTTAAGCATTTCAAGATTACCAATACAGAATATGTACAGATGCAATAGCAGATGAAATCCCACATGTACATACACAAACAGGACACTGATATGTTACTGAAATTTAGAGATATTTCATTTCTCTCTTGTGCGGATTGAAATTGATCTAAGAAAAAAAAAAGGTTTATGTCAGACTGAAACAATATAATAAACAATTTTCTTTAATTTTGTTATGTGCTTATATTTTTAGGAAATATGTACCAATGTATCAGACAGTATATAGGGAACTTGTACTGAGTCGCTAGTGAGCTAGCTTTTCTAGTGATGCGGTAAAATCTCCCTCTATATTAGACAAGTTAAGCAATGTCGAGCCTGTTTAACCCTTGAATGGGTGACTGCTTCACATTACATTTACATGTAATTTTTTTTTTTTTTGAATACTAAATTTGAGTGTGAATTTCTTCTCATGGTCAAGCATGAGGTACTGCATAATTGTCATTTTTACATTAAAATGCGTGCATGTATTTATGGATTATCAGACACATATACACTATACAAAAAAAATGCATAATTTTCCTAATTTTTACCTTTTTTCAGTTTTGACCCCATATTATAGCCATCATTTGGTTCCTGTACAGTGCGAACAAATCTGTATAATACATCAGTGTTGTTTATGCCCCCCTAATCAAAGATGATTCAGGGGTTTATAGTTTTTGCCCTGTCTATCTGTATGTATGTCCCCAAAACTTAACTTTTCCCATAACTTTTGTTTTGTTGGAGCTATGCATTTCATTTTTCACATGTGTATTCTTTGTGACAAAACCTTTCTTTGGGTACCAACATATTTGACCTTTGAGTTTGACCCATTTTTGTAAAATTTTACCGAACTTTTACCTTGGCAATAATTTCTGAACAGTTGGGGCTAGGGCTTCATATTTCTTATGACAAGACCTTCCCATGACCACCATTAATTTTGACCTTGAACTTGTTGTTCGACTTTTGAAAAACTTTAATCTTCACCATAACTTTTCAAAGGTAAGTGCTAGGGCTTTCGTATTTTACTTGCACATTTCTTGAGACAAGACCTGTCTTTGGATAATAACATTTGTGATCTCTTGACCTTGACCTTGGAGTTTGACATGAATTTGAAAAACTTCGACCTTCACCATAAGCTGCCATATACATACATAAAAATGCCATTATCGCATGTACATACATGTATGGCAGAGCTCAAAGAAGTCAATCCAGCTTTTCCAACATGCATTCCTTTATATGTTTGACATTCAGATCCAAGAAAATACCATAAAAAATCATCACAAATCATCCATTTTCATATAATTTTAACACATTCTTTGGTACTTTGGTAAATATAAATACAAATTTCATAAATGCAATCAATATAAATGCAGAAATTCAAGTTTGTTCACTAATGCAGATCCCACTTTATCAGCAGTAACCTGAGACACAGATGTGACACTTTAAATGGAGTATTTCATATACATGTACAAATTTATCAAAAATGCATCACTTCAAATTAGTGTCAAATGATGTCAAAAGGACAAATTTCATGTGCAAAATGTTCAGGAACAACACATATTCTTCCATCAAAAATTCTCTGAAATTTGCCAAGACTTCTTTCTTCAAAGTTATTCACATTGAATTTTTGTCCAGATCTGCACAATCTTCTATCACAAATTCCCTGAAATAAAAAGTTTGAAACACAGTTAGAGTTTTTATAATTACCATGCATAATCAAGGGAAACCTGAGATGGAGAATTTTTTTCCTGCCAATTTTTTTCATGATAACTAGTATGAAAAGGAAGCATCCTATTAGTGAAACCAACGGTCTTCATGCCAAAATGAATTGATTTATTGTTTACTTAAATTTTATTACTTTTTAGTTTTCTCCTCATTGAAAATAAATTTCTCCTTCATTTGTGCCAGGTTTAGTTAAAACTGGTCCAGTAGTTCTGTTGAGAAAGTCTGATACATGTATTAAGGTATTCAGTGTATACTGAATGGATTTTGAACTGTTTTGAATCATTTTAAACTAGTTAAAAATGTATTGCTAGATAATGATGAAAGGGAAATGAACCAAATTCACATGACTGATAACATGAAAGAAGCTGGTCATTTTGCACTTTAACATTTTTTGAAGAGTTATCTGCCCTTGATGAAAAACCCAAAAATTTAATTTTATCAAAATATCTGTGGCAAATGATTCATTTTATTTCATATTTTAATAAAGAGAGAGTTTATGCAAATTTTCACCAAGAGCTCTACATGAAATTCAAATTACTTCTTACAATATCTTAATAAAACCTGCACTCCCCATAGACTTCATTGTAAAATTCAAGGTGCAATTTATTTGACAATTCCTTTGGTGGAGTATTTTTATTTAATAATACCAGGGGTTTTGAAAAGACACCAATTGAGGCAAAATTCTTGTATAATATTCAAAGAAAAATATACGAAAATTACTAAACATATATTCTAGATGTTTATCCAAACTTGTTTAAGAAGAAGTGTACAACAGAATATATAGACATTAAAATGTAGCACACAGTTCCTTTAAGCATTGGAACTCTACAACTCCAAGGAAAACGACAATAAAGTTCAAACTACGTTGCGTATGTCCTTAAGGGATCAAAAAAGCTCTCTTGAACCATTGGATCAGATGAACTTCCAGGTCAAAACAGAAAAAGAGACCCAAGTTCAAGAAAATCAAGCCAGGCTGATGGATTTGAGAAATAATGCATCTATGATCTACATTTTATTTCATTTGTCACAAGTCCTTTTTTTTGTGGTCAACGGAGTTTGGCTTTAAATTTTTTGTTCTATCTTTTATTCATGTACACAATATGATGAATAATATAAGGCAAACTGCCAAAAGACATTCTGTTATATGAGTGATGAATACAAAACCAATAACACTATTAATAATTATGCCCTGAACATTTTACATTAAATAGTACATAATTATATTAATCCTATGCTATGCATACAGTAAGCATAAATCTACAGGAGACCCACAAGGAATTTACAAAAATATTAAATGCTTAAGAAAATAAGCAAAAATAAAAAGGTCTTTGACCCCCTAGGAAAAACAGACCCTTGTAAAATGGTTAGGAGTGTCATGCATCTGAAGTGACTTGTCCTGGCTACACCCCCCCCCCCCCTTGCAATGCCAAGGGGCCCTGATTCAATACATTGCATGGGACCCCTGGTCAATTTCATTCATAATTATCATGGGCTGACTGTAGCATTATCTTTAGGGGAATTTTCAAATCCATTGTTTTTCTCATCTCTCAACCAATCACATTAAGCCATATTCTATGATAAACAACTTGTAACAGGTGATTCTTCCTGTTTACATTATCATATCTAAATATTTCTGAAAGCTTCAATTTGATTGGTGCTTCTCAATGAGAGAAGCAAGACTTAAAATATCACATGAAATTAGCCAGGACCCAGGACCCCTGGCATTGCAAGGATGTCCCCCATGATACTTTTAAAACATGTCTATCCAAGTGTTTTAATGAGTACAATTGTTTTGTGTACATTTTATTCATATGTGTATTTAACTATTTATATATGACTATGACCCAAAAAAACAAAAAACAAAAAAAAACAAAAAAAAAACAGCGGCATACTGAATATTTGACTGATGCTTACAAAATAAGAGCCCTAAGGGCCATATATCTCACCCGAGCACTGTGGCTAGGAGAAAAAAAGCAGAAATCAGTTCAGTATTGAAAAGTTTAAATACATATTGGTGGTCCCAACCTACCCCTAAAGTGGTGGGGCATGATTTGAAGAAACTGGAATTTACACTTACTGAGGAAACTTCCATATTTATTTGACTAATTGTGGCTTTCAAAGATTTTTTAAAGATTATTTTCCTATAAGTTTTAACTTTCATTGTGGCCCCAACCTTCCCCGAGGGATCTTGATTTAAACAAACTTGAATCTACACTATCTGAAGAAACTTCCATATAAATATGACTAATCATGGCTTTGCTGTTCTTGAGAAGATTTTTTTAAATTTTCCCTATATATTCCTATGTAAAACTTTGATAATCCATTATAGCCCCACCCTACCCCTGATTTAAATAAACTTGAATCTACACTACCTGAGGGTTTTTCCACAAAAGTTTCATCTTTCCTGGACCACAGATTTTTGAGAAGAAGATTTTTAAAAGATGATATTAATTTTTCACTAAATTAATTTGTAATTATCTCCAGTTGGAAGGAAGTGTGGCTTTTATTTGAACAAACTTGAACCCCCTTTGCCCATGGCTACTTTGTTGTTAAGTTTGGTTGAAATACATGTAGGTCAAGTGGTTCTTGAGAAGAAGTAAAAAATGTGAAAAGTTTACAGACAGATGGACACTAGACAAAATGTGATTAGAAAAGCTCACTTCAGCCTTTGGCTCAGGTGAGCTAATAAAAAGCAAAGTAAAAAAAAAAAAAGTTATCGCCTACCTACCTTCCCTAATATTTTTGGCATGTTACCAAAAACAAACACATTATAATTTTTTAATTGGCTTAAAGGGAGAACAGTCCCTCATTCCAGCTGAACCCAGATTCTCCCCACAAAGAGAAATACTTTTTGGAAAATGTTTAAGTTGTCTATTGTTAACAAAGGCTATATTTTTTAATGATATTTATCAAGGACTTAATCACCTTACCAATAACTTTTGAAATAGAGCAGCGGGTATCCCTTGCACTGTAATCCCCAGTTCTTGCTTCCAGGCAGAATTTATTGTTCAATAGTTCCATTTTCTATCTGAATTCTCTTTGAATCTGTGGCAGAAAGACAAACTGTATGCAAAATCTAAAAAATATCAACGGGTACATGTACGAGTATGATTATGGCATGTACAAAGTAGTAGACATGGTAGATGAGAAATAATTTTGGTTAGGAAAAACATTTTTCACCATGTTAAGGTCACCACCTTTTCATAAAGGGGTGGGGGTAGAGGTTAAAATATTTATTTTCTTAATCTATCAGTCCCCCCCCCCCCAATCAAATGATCGTCCCTATATGCGCTTAATCAGGCAGGTGGTTTTAATAAAGTACTAGTATGTGCTTAATCTCACATTTATGCACATGATCTATTTCTGACAGCTGTCTGAGGCAATTCGAACTACCTGTTTGTTCGGTAGCTCTAGCTTAATTACAATAAACTGACAGCTGATTCAAGAGACATTATCTGAATGAT